CACTATTGCTAATTTGTTTAACTATTTGTCTTTCAAAAAAGAACATATAACAATTAGCAACAGCTAGTGTAAGAGGAGAACCCATAGCTCCTCCACGAATTTGATGATAAAATTGGCCATTATAAGAAAAATAATTATTTTGCATCACAAATCGACTTAATCTAATAATTGTTTCAATTTTAAGACCACCAACTTGTTTTAATTTTAAATGGTCTAACATTTTCTTTAATGAAAGTACTCCTTCAGTTTGCGGCACCATTGTATAAAGGTCTGTAACATCAATTGTACAAAATAAAGTTTCTTGACGTATATTAATACTTGACCATTGTTGCAACTGTTTGACTAATTCAAAGCCAGAATTAATAGTCGTTTTTGCAGCCATCTTATCAAATAAAGGTCGAAGTAATTCATCGAGAAATTTTGAAATTTTAATTGTAGGGTGTTTAAGACCAGATATAATTGGACGAAGAGGAGTACCAGGCTTATGTGCCTTAGGTAAATAATATAAATGAGCAAGTTCAACTTCATTTGGATTAATACAAAGTTTTTCATACTGTTTTTGGGTAATCCACTTGGCTAGCCGTAAATCTAATAAATATTTATTAGTGCGACGAATCAGATCAGGAAATGGATCTTCAGTACCTAAACATTTGTAGGCCTTTGTTTTCTCCATATATTCTTCTGATTTTTTGCGATAATCGTCAAGTTTACCTAAGTGGAATACTTTATTTTTATCAGATTTTTGAAGAACAATATTTTTCAAATGAAGCTTATATTTTAAACGTTTAATTAATCGCCCATAATTTTTCTTCTTTTTAATAATAATTCTAGAATTAATATCTTGGGATTGACTTGATTCTATAGTAGAAACTAAATTATCATATGTATTATTTTGATTTAATATATTTCTTAATTTTCGAGGATTTCCAGGGGTATTATGTAATTTTTGAAGCAGAACATCTAATTCGGAAATAAATTGTTCGACTGGACGACCGGGGCTAACTTTCTTATCAAAGAAACGAGCTTCAATTTTTCGTTTAAGAGTAGCCAACTCAGTTGTACGTCGTCGAGATGCCGTTTTTGGATCATTATAAATGAACCGAGGACCTAATTTTAATAACTCATGTTCTTCCTCGGTTAATTGGATTTGTGCTTGGTTAATTATAGCTGGAGCAAGAAATCCTCGCCCAGCGATCGAATTAGAGTCGGAGCAACGACTTCTACCGGATCGTTTGTATCGCCCTCGACTCGCTCTTCCGATAAAAAATGAATCGATTGTTCAGCTTCTAAATTTAATCTTTTTTCTCGTAAATTATGATAATGTTTAAATGCTGCATGTCCAGGTTCAGCATCAAATCCCTCATCATTTTCTTGAGGAAAGCCTTCAATAATACGTTTAATTTCATTCGATAATAATTCATTTTCTCTACCTAAGGATTGTACATATAATGTCATTGCTTGTGTACGAAATTCTTTTGTAATTTGACGCATTTGATTATATGTAGCTTGAGCTTCATCTTGATTGATAATAGATTCATCAATTTTAAATGATAAATCAACTTTTTCAATAAATTTTGGAGGCATATCATATTCAACACGTTTAAGAGCAGCCAAGTAATTTTTATTCTTAGCCGACCAAAGTTTTATTTTAGGTTTTAAAGCTAAATGAATATTCCATTGAGATGGAGTAGCTATTTGTTCAAATTCTTCTAAAGCCTTAAATTCATCTAATTGAGCTTTGGCTAATTGAACTTTAGTTTCGGC